TTTTTCCATTGCTTGTATTACTGTTGTTATTGATTAGCTACTCGTCCTGCTTACTGTTGTTTTATCGTGTTGCTCTACTGCGTTGTTCTACTGTTGTTTACTGCCGGTCTGTCTGTTATTGCGTTGTTATCTGTTGTTACTCGTTATTATGTCTGTAATTGTTTGTACTGTGTGTTATTGTTGCTTACTGCTTGTTCATTGCTTGTCTTATTGTTTTCACTTCAGGGGGTTGCTATACTGTTGTTACTGGCATTCGTTACGGGTATTGTTGTTTATACTGTTGGTGTATTCTGTCCTGTTACTTGTTGTTACTGCCTTGGTCTTACTGTGGTGTTATTGTGTTTTACTGTGTTATGTTTTACTTGTTTGGCTTTATCTGCGTTTCGTTACTGTTGTTATGTTACGTTACTGTTGTTACTGTTCGTATTGTTGTTATTTGTTGTACTGTTGTTACTGTTAGTTATTGTTATGTTGTTATTTGTTTTTTCGACGGTGGATCCAGCAAGATGACATTGAATCGTTCAGGTCAGTCTGACGCTTGACACGTCGCACTGCCCTGCGGTGGTCGCTCGGCTGCATCTTCTGCGGGACTTGTAGTCTGCCCACCGCGCACTACTTCCCAGAACTCTCCTCCTGCGCCACTGCGCTAACCAGCGGCAGCCTGCGCTGGGACTACGAGTACACCGGCGCGTCGCACCCGCTCTGCGCGCAATGACAAGCCCAGGCTCCCAAGCGTCCGGCGCTGCAGACATCGCTGACACCGCGTGTGCTTTGACAGAAAGCTTCTTAAATTCTTTCTATCTCTCTCGGTCTTTAATGTTATGACAAAAGCCTTCAGTCTGAAGCAGGCGCGTGGATGGCGCAGCTTTTCATTCTCAGTACCACGGCTTGTTTTTTCCGGACTGGTGACGTCTTGGCTTCCGGCGGCCTGGTTTTTTTACAGGACCCTGGTATTAGCGGGCAGTTGGTTCACATTAGTTTTTTTCTTTAGTTTTTCCCTGCCATTTTCGTAGCTCCTCTGCAGCCTACCGCCGGCTCAACGGCAGGTTCTGCAGTCGTGAAGTTACACGTGAGCTCGGTTCCGGTTCCCCCGGTGCTCCCGGCGTTCCCCCGCGTTCCCCCCGGTCCTCCCGGTACCCCGGTTCCTCCTGGTACCCCCCGGGTCCTCCGGTCCCCGGGCTAGGAACCACCCGGTCGGTGACGCTGCGGAGGCTCAGAGCCGGGTATACTCAACGTTACAATCGTTGCCGGGTCATACATGAACACACAGCAGACATCCATTCATAAAAAGCTCCGCTTTGACTTTAGTGATTAACCTGACAACTTATCCGATTTAATCTGGACAGTCAACCGCTGTCTCTCTATTCGATTCTTTTATTGGGGTCCTTGCCGCCATCCCAAGCTCAAGACGATTCAACTCAGGACTTGTCACTGACACAGACCTTCACTTGCGATTCATATGAAAATTATTCGATTATGTCGAGTTGATCCTGGATTTGCGTTTGCCAGCCGTCGTGCATGATATGTTAACCTCTTGGGATCAACTAAAAACTATATCAATTTCAATCAAAAAGTCTGACTCAGACCTTCGACAGGACCTGTGCATCTTATCTGATGCTCCAGCCCTGGTCCGGAACGGTCTGTCCTCCTCGAGGCTCGTTCAAGGATACTCGCATCGGAGGTTATTGATCCTCCTCCTGCGTAGTGGTTACTGAGGCTCCGGCCTTGCCATGGAGCCGGCCTGCGGCAGACAGCAAGGGGAGCGGGGCGTGGAGCCGGGTCAGGAGGCGGTGAAAGGTCACGGCCCCAGAAGGAGAGAGAGAAGACCACCGGTCGGTGGGCGGAAGCACCGTCCGCCCGCCACAGGCGGCCTTCCAACACGGTCGAGGGGAACGGAGACTGAGACTGCTCCGTGGTGCCTGGTCCTGGTCCTGGGTGCTGTCCTGGTCCCTGGTGCTGGGTCCCTGGTGCTGGTTCTGGGTTCTGGTCCTGGTCCTTGGTGCTGGTGCTGGTCCGGGTGTGCGGTTGGCTTGGGGGTCTCTGGTTGCTGGTCCTGGTCCTTGGGTGCTGGTGCTGGTCGCTAGGTCCTGGTGCTGGGCTGCTGGTCCTGGGTTTTCCTTTGGTCCATGGTGCTGGTGCTGGTTTCATGGTCCTGGTCCCTGGTAACACTTCGGTGCTGAGGTGCTGGATCTGGTACCCTGGTCCTGGTGCTGGTGCTGGGTCCCGGGGGTGCTCGGTCCTTGGTGCTTAGGTCCTGGCGTCCTGGTCCCTGGTGCTTGGTTCCTGGTGGTGCTGGGTCCTGGTGCTTGGTTTCTGGTGGCTGGTGCTGGTCCCTGGTACCGGTCCCGTGTGGCCTGGGTCCTGGTTGCTAGGTGCTGGTCCTAGGTCTTGGTCCTGGTCCTGGTTGTCTGGGTCCTAGGTTGCTGGTGCTGGTGGCTGGTGCCTTTGGTGCTGGTCCTTTGTGCTGGTCCTGGGGTCGCTGGTGCTGGTCTTGGGTGCTGGTGCTGGTTCCTGGTCCTGGTCCTGGGTAGCTGGGTCCTGGTTCTGGCTGCTGGTGGCTGGTCCTGGTTCTGGGCTGCTGGTGCTGGGTCCTGGTCCACTGGTACCCAAGGGTTCCCGGTTCTTGACGGTCCTGGTCCTGGGTCCTTGGCTCCTGGTGTCGGTTCTGGTCCTCGGCCTGGTACCCTGGTCCTGTAGGTGTCCCTGGTCCTGGTCCTGGTTTCTTGGTTCTGACGGTCTCCTCCGCTCTGGTTCGTAACAGTGTGGTCGGTTTCGCAGTCCAAGGTTACGGCTGAGCGGAGGCCATCAGGAAGTCTCCAACCAGGGCTGCTCCGTGCTCCAGGCGATTTGCGTCGAGAGCCCGTATCCAGCTCCTCCCTCCTCTGATCGATGCACTGATTGCATGCACTCGATTGCATCGCACTGGCATGGACTGAGGAAGAGGCAGACTGAGAGGAGTTCTGCTCCCGTAAGGACCGATCGGCAAGCCACGCAGGCGCACCACAGATCCTGGCCTCCCACCTCTTCACCACCTACTACCGACCAGCCACAGCAGGTGAGCCTTGGTCGCTCTACCGTCAGCAACAGCAGGTTTACCGACGAGACGACCGAGCTTCTTACCTCTTACTACCTTTAACTTATACAGCAGCCTTGCACAGTAACTGTTATTCGCTACCCCGACCCTTACTCTCACCGCATCAGAATACACGCGATAACGTCTCTCTCGCTCTTCTCTCCTCTGTCTCTCTCTCTCTGTCTCTCTCTCTGTCTCTCTCTCTGTCTCTTCTGTCCTCTCTCTCTCTCCTGTCTCTCTGTTCTCTTCTCCCCCCTCATCTCATGTCCTTCTACTCCTCCTAGTCTCCTCTCTCAATCTCTCTTTCTCATGTCTCTGTCCTCTCTCTTCTCTCTGTAACTCAACTTCTTCTCTCTCTGTCTGTCTTCTCTCTCTCGTCTGTCTCCTCTCTCCTGTCTCTCTCTCTCTCTGTCTCTCCTCTCTCTGTCTCTCTCTCTTCTCTCTTCTCTCTGTCTGTCTCTCTCTCTCTCTCTGTCTCTCCTCTCTGGTCTCCCCCCCCCCACTCTTCTTCTTCCTCTGTCTCTCTTCTCTTCTTCTCTCTCTCTTGTCTCCCTCTCTCTGTCTCTCTTCTCTCTCTCTCTCTCTCTCTGTTCTTCTCTCTCTGTCTCTCTCTTCTGTCTCTCTCTCTCTCTGTCTCTCTTCTTCTCTGTCTCTCTCTCGTCTCTCTCTCTCTCTCTCTCTCTCTCTCTTGTCTCTCTCTCTGTTCTCTGCTCTTCTGTCTCTTCTCTGTCTCTCTCCCTCTCTCACGGGTGGTGATGTCACAGGTCCGTGGTTAGGACTGAGTCAGGTACTGGTCAGTTGGGAGCTGTTTCAGATGGGAGCTTCTCACCTGTCTGATGTCTGCATCGCTCCGTCAAAGCGACGGCAGGCGTGAGACACACACACACACACTCACACACACACACACACACACACACACACATACACACACACACATAAAAACTGGTGTACAGTGTTGATTCAATTAAATAGTTATTGACATTAAAATGTCAGAACGAGTTACGCAGGACGTCTGATTTACAAGGAGTCAGTTCTGGATGATGACTGAGTCACTGGACAGTCATCAGCCTTTCAGGAGTTAAAACACTGAAATTCAGTTCCTTCAAAATTAAAACCGTTAGGAAAGAGTTAAATGTGAGGGAAGATAGGTAGTCAGGAGACGTTTGACTCCTCCAGAACTAACAGTTTAACTTTCTGTTCTTCTCTGTACTGTCCGTCCTGGTGACCGTCTGTCGTCTGTCCGTCGCCACGGTGTGGATTCTGCTCCAGCTGTTTCTCTCTCTTTCCACCTCCCTGTATTTCAGAAGTGGCCCGAGACTCGGCCTTCCTCGTCTCCTCCGTCACCGGGATGGAAGACTCTTTGGTTGCAGTAGAGCAAGGGCATCCCTAGGCCCTAGATGTATTTGGTGAGGATAATGACATCTAGGGTCTGGTTTTCTTTCTTTCCTTTTCTTTGTAGGTTGTTTATTGTGTCGGTGTATTTTTACTCCTTGTATTTCATCTTGTGTGTCTGTGTGTGTTACCTGTTAATAGTGAAAGGCTGCCGTGCTTGCTGCTGTTTGGGCATGCCGATGATGCTGGGTGACGACCGGCTCGGGCTCCCCATGCTGCTGCTCCTCCCTGCCCCGACACCGCCGCCTCCCCTCTCTCCTCCTACTCCCCCAACCATCCCGCCCGTCTGCCCCGTCGGACCCCCGACCTGCTGGCTGTGGTTCAACACGCTCCGGCTGTTCATTGGCAAAATACCCCTGTAGAGAGGAGGAGGAGGAGGAGAAGGAAGAGGAGGAGGAGGAGACACGAGCACAAACGATTCGAGATTAAAGCTGGAGGCGTTTCTGAGGTTTGTGGAGAGAAAGAGGAAGACGAGGAGATTTTAAAACAGCAACATTGAGGTTTCATTTCTGACCGAGACTGAAAACAAGCAGCTACTGCGAAAGAAGTCCAGTCTGAGTGTTTGAAGCCTCATCAGACGTTTGTAACATAAAAACACAACAGTGACAATAACTTTATCCTCAATCCTGATGATCTTCATATAAACTGTAAAAATATTCTATCAGTATCACGGTGCTTTCTGTAAGAAGTACATGAGAAATAAAGTAATAAAAGGTTATATTTATCTAAATTTCAACTTTACACACATTCTTACACAAAATATTAGACAGAAATTCTGTCAAATACTTTCATGAAGCTTGATTAATAAAAATATTAAATGTTATTTATATAACACCTTTCATAAACAACATGTAGCACTAAAAAAAAAGATTTAAACAGACAATTTAATGTTAAAATATATGTAAAAAGACAAATACAGTAGAATTAAAACCACTTAAATAAAGAAATTGTACTAAATTAAGACGACAGGATGCAAATCAGACTACAAACCTCAGATAACTTTCTTTATAAAATCTTTAGTCGTGTATTTGTGACAAAACGTCTACAGGAATAAACAAAACTTATAAATCATCTGAAAGTGAGAAAATTAAACCGTCTTTATCTCTAAAATGTCAGTAAATGTGTGTGTGTGTGTGTGTGTGTACCTGCTCGGCGAGGGAGGCGTGTGCATCGAGCCAGTGTTCTGTGTACTGGCGTGACTGGGGAGCTGACTGGCAGACTGGTTCAACCCACTTCGACTTAACTGAGGCGCCGCGCTGCTGTTCATACTCCGCATGGGAAACCCCAAAGCACCTGCGAGGAGAGAGAGAGGTTGAGCTTTATAACACTTATCAACGGAGGAGGTTACAATCTGAATGTAAACACATGCACACATTATTTATTCCCCCACAGCTGGTTCCTGTAAAGAAGGAGGAGGTGAGTGTGTGTGTGTGGGTTCTTCTTACTCTGCGGGCCATATAAACTGGCTCCGAGCTGCGACAGCTGACCCGTTGAGGAAGCAGAGGAAGACGCCAACATCTGGAGACGGAGGAAACACAGAAACATCTTTTACATCATCCTGAAAACATCGTCTCCTCTAGATCAACTGCTTTTGAAACCACATGAGGAGAAACAGCAGAGTTCAGGAAGCTACCGTAATACTCAAACCTGGTTTTAGGTTTTTATTTGTCTGAGTTATAGAAGATCTGTTTATTTATGTTTACCATGTTTCATTAAAGTTGATCAGATATGAAGATAGAGAGGTTGAGTTTGTTGAATATGTTGTTGTCGGGTCTTTGCTTAGAAGGTTTATATTGTATTTATTAAGAAGTCTTAGAAAAGCGTCTGCATTTAAAAATGATGAATAATAATGTTGGTACAAACCTTTTTTCTGTTCTTTACTTTAACAAATATAAACTATATTTTTATTTAACTAAAATGTCTCAAATGTTAAATGTTGTTTATAAGTAAACTTTTCTGAAATAAAATACAGTTTAAAAGCATATAATTTCACATTTTTGTGTTTAAAAGAAGTTTGTAACCTGAGAAATAGTAAAATAATTTAATTTAATGGATCATTTAAATCTGCTCTGACCAGATCTAACAGATTATATAGATATTGTTAACAACAAACAGTTCTCACTCTTCAAATGTTCCTTACAAAACTTCAAACACACTTTCATAGAACATAAAGTATATCACAATAAACTCAACTGATAAAATATCGGCTGTAATTTAATTATTTAATATATATTTATATATTTTAATATATATTTATGTTTGATAATAAAGAAAAGTAACTGAACGAGAGTTTAACTTACGTCTTTGTCAGCGCGGTGCGGAGGGAACATGGACTGTTGGGTGTAATAAAGGCTGGAGTCGTCCGCGTAGTCGCTCTCTATCCCTCCCTCCATAAACTTCTTCCGGTTAGCACCAAACATACCGCGTGTCACCTGAGGAAGAGGAGGAAGAGGAGGAAGAGGAGGAAGAAGAGGAAACCGTCAGTATTTAATGTCTCCAAATTAGTCCATTAATCGTTCATCATTTTGACTAACTTTAAAAGAAAACATGCCCAAAACTGCTTCCTTTAGTCCTCCGACAGTAAACTGAACATTTAAAGTCACTTTGGGTTTTTTCTGTCACTTTATGGAACAAAACAACAAATCGATTAACAGAGAAAATGAGCCGTACGTTTAAGAAGCTGTGAATAAAACTTTTATTAGGAGAAACTGGATGTAACCTGACAAATGTCTTCATTTTTTAAACTCTGGTTTTATTTTGTGAACCATAAACGCGTCTCTGTATCTCTGAGTGTGACAACAGACAGTTACCTGAACAGCACTGACCTCAGATTAACCTGCAACCTCAGACTGTATCTCGAGTAAACGGAGAGCCAACACACGGTTCCTCTCGGCGCTAAAACCTCGCCGTTTGTGTGGAAGCAGCGTCACAACACAGAAACTTTCACACGAAGCCTCACCGGTGTTTGGAGACAGAGCTGCAGCCACGAACTACTTTATCATTTACGTGGAGCGAATAAACAACTTTGATTAAATGTTTGGGACATTTTTAAGCAAAACTGGCCCAAATTCTCTCCTTAAAGTTGGTAAATGTTTATGTTTTATAATCTTCTTAGCCTGCAATGTTAATAAAATACTGTTTAGGTGGTTTTGGTCCGTGTCTAACTTTTCAGAATGAATTAATGAGTCTGAAAAGTTACTTCCAGACTAAAACACACTGAAAATAATCGTTAAAAGCAGCTCTGCTCAGTAAATATGTTGTTTGTTTTGTGCTTATTGATAAACAGAGTTCCCACGCTCTTTAATAAATCACAAACAGTCATATTATAAACCTTCTCCAGATGCTTAATGAAACGTAATGTAAGATGAATATTATATATATATATAATAATAATAATATATATTATAGAATAATAAAATGCAGTTTTGTTATTAGCTTTGTTTTTCCTGTGATTAATTAATTGTGCAGCACGAGTCATTTTAATTATTTCCCATTAAATAAAACAGCACAATAAGTTAATAATATAATAAATAAGATAATAATATAATAAATAAGTTAAT